ACGCTATATATATATGAGAATTAATGTTGCTAGCAGGAAAAAACGGACTTTGTGGAGATTAAATGTGGGCATTTTGAATAACGAAGGTTTAATACAAGATTTGAAAGAAGAAATCAAACAATATATTGACCAAAACGACAATGGAGAGGTGAACCCATTAGTTGTATGGGATGCTCTAAAAGCAGTGATGCGAGGAAAAATAATTTCTAAAACGGCTTGGCTGAAAAAAAAATAAAATGAAAACATATGAATTGTTGGGATCTGGAGATCTGCCACCTTTCTCCAGCAGAGGGCGCCCTGGGTCTCCTGAGCTGAAGCCTCCAGCACACCTGCGGCTGATCATCTCATCAGGAGACCAGCTTTATAAGCAGCGGCTGAACTTCCCTTCAGTGCCGGAGTGTTAAACAGTTATGGTTAGCAAGCCTGAGCCAAACCTGTTGCCTGAATCTCTGACTGCTCTGAAAAGCCAACCTGAATCTAACCAGCCTTTGTCCTCTCTACCTTCCTAGGAAGACCCGATTGACTCCAGGAGCTCTGGAAGAGCTCATAGTCTGAAACCTGCCTGCCCTATGAAGTCAAACCTGAAGATCTCTGTCTGGATCAACCTGCATGTTCTCAAGGAGAGAACTAAGAGATCAACTCAAGGTCTGAACCTCATAAGCCTGAAGCCAAGCCCTGCCGCTGCTAAGCGCTCTGCTGATACCTCAGTATCTGGACCCTTCTGGTTCCCTCCCTCTACTGCTCTGTCTGAACCACATCAGGTACAGATCAATTCTAAGACTCCGTCAAGATACTCCTGTCCCTTGGCTAACCAAACTGTCCCTCTCTACAGAGAGTCCTGTGTTAACGGTTCCTGGATCCGTTCCTGCATCAGTACCAAATAACTTTATTGTGTTTCTCTTCAATAAATCAGTTTGAAGTTTTACTCTGTCTCCGTGGTGTTCTGCATGTGGGTTACATCAGTTAGACCCAACATGACAGAACACTCTGGCCAAAAACAAAACCCAGCAGATCACCTCCGGAGGATGATTGAGGAACAAGCAACTCAGATCCGAGGACACGAACTAACCCTCCGTGAGTTAAACACACGTTTGGAACATCAGAATCGATCTTTTCAGGAATTAGCAGGCTATGTTAGAAACGCTAACGCAGCGCCACGTCAACTTCCGGTTCCGGAGCCAGGTCCGCCTCAAAGGTCAGAGCCTGTCTCGTCACTTCCGGAATTCCGTCCGTCACTTCCGGAGAAATTCTCAGGTATTTCAAACAAATGTAAAGGATTTTTGCTCCAGTGCAGATTAATTTTTGAACACTCACCTTCTAGTTTTTGTAACGATAAGAGAAAGATTGCCTTTATTCTTTCCCAACTCACCGGAAGAGCTCTTGAATGGGCGGAGGCTAGGTTCGCCACTGAATCAAGTTTTCGGTACACTTTTGAGTAGTTCATGGTTGAATTTTCTCAAGTCTTTAATCAAGACTC